GATGTCTCAGATGACTTTCTGCATGACAAACTTAGAAACAGACATTCCTAATTGAAACACTTCTGCAGATAATTAACGCTCACATGAGAATCTGTAACTCAGTTAGAGAGTCACAATCTGAACCCAATGTCCAAGGTTTTTTCTCTTTGATGTTAGTGGATTTTAATGTCATGCAGAACCGTGTTAAGATCCTCCATGCTTTTAGATCGTCTCCTTTTACACTAACGCACCTCTCTCTATTCCCGCCTCGGCCAAAATGCCATCAAACGGCTCCAGCTCGTCCAAAACGCTGCGGCGAGAATTTGAACTGGTGCTTAAGGTAAAGATCACAACACTCCCGTTTAGCACACCTGCACTGGCTACCTGGACGGTTTAGAATCGATTTGAAGATTTGACTGATGGCTTTAAGGCACAGAAAGGTGTGGACCCCGGCTGTATCTCTGACCTTTCTATGAGCCGACTGGCAGCCTGACGTCCTCTGTTGGGACACTGCTAGTTGTCCACAGTCCAGGTGTTCTGTTCTGGATCACCTGGACTGGGGAACAGTCCGTGGGAGGTCAGACAGGCGTGAAAAAGATTATCTCTCAGTATTTTATCCATCCTTGAGTCGTATTTTAGCCTCTGACAGTAAGGGCGCCGTGTGACGTCTCACCCCTGCATGATGTCCGTCCTGTGGTCTCTGGGCTGACCGACGTCCGGCCCGAACAGTCCGGCGTGGCGGTAAAGTTCAGACTGTGACATCATCTCCCTGAGATGGGTGAAATCCTGACCCAGCTGGAACCCGTCCACTCGAATCCCCGCCTTCTTCTCGTAGCTGTTTGGCTCTGAGGACAGACGACACATCATCAGACCGCTCACACTCAATAAAACTGCTTAACTTCCTGTTCGTCTGTCTGTCACGACTTCTCTGAAGGAAATCGAATGAGACAAAAGAACTTCCTGTGTGTGCAGCGAGGTGATAAACGGCCTTGGAACCCAGAAGTGAAACTCAAACCTCAGATACCTCAGCGTGTAACTATGACTGTCAAAGAAGGAACATAAAGAACAGGTCAAAGAAACATGAATATGTATTGACGTTGGGTCATATATGTAGTAGAAAAGGGAAATAACTTTTGAAGTTGGTGCCTTCTTGGCCGAGAAAAGGCAGAAAGTGTCTTTTTGGCTCAAGTGGATGAAAGACACCAAATCCCAGAATGCACAGCACCGCAGGCCACTCCCACTAAGGTCCTCTATTTCAGAATCAGAAATACTTTATTAATCCCAGAGGGAAATTCGATCATTACAGTTTCTCCACAATATACAATATAGCAGTAGAAATATATTAATGAAAACATTTACAGACATATTTACTTTAACACATAAGGCCATTTCCTCAACTGATTCCGAGATTTCTTCCAGAAATTGATTCCTGGCAGAAAACAGACTCTATGTCTGTGTCCATAGGCAAACAGTGAGAGCACCGACACTACCAGTCCGCCCCAGCTCAAGCCGGCCCGTCTCCTTGTCCACAGCACCGCCGACAGGCAGGCCTTGTGTCTCGGCTGCTGAGCTGGCAATGGCCGGCGGCGGCCAGCAATACAGCCGCGAGACTCCTTTTCAGACTTAGAAATGCAAAGATTTCCCATCTCAGGGGAAAATGAGGCGGGATGCACGACCATTCAAAAATACTACCAGGTTTCTAATGATACAAAGCTTAATGCAAATGGGTGAAGTATCCCTTTAACTGAACTGATCTTCGATGAACCCATTAAATTTTGCACCAACAAAACCACAACACATTGTTGACATAGCACAGTTAGCGTACCGTTGCCGAGCTCCCAGCACATGGTGTACCGTCTGGACTCACAGTACTGCAGCAGTTGGCGGGCGTTGCTACTGTTCCAGGCGTTGTCGGCTGTTCTGAGCAGTGCGTTCAGCCCGAAGATCAGATCCATCCCGAGCAGTTTGTGAAGGAGTGCAGCATATCGATGGTGTTTTCTATAACAGGACAGAATTATAATAAATACACATCAACATTTAGGACTCAGGCTTTTTTATAACACTGAGATGAAGACAGTTAAATCAGCTTTGCATCAACTTTACTTTATTGATCCTCGCAAGGGAAAATTTCTGTTTTTACGTAAGTCATGCAACACACACATAGGCTGAAATATACACATGCACAAACAGGATCCTATGGACATGCACTAATGGAGAGATGTCAGAGTGAGCTGCATCTGGGGCAACTGGAAGCTACTGTGGGGTGGGGCTTCGTGCGCATACAAACAAAATAAGTGAGAATGAATTAAATCGAGCAAACGTAGAGCTCTCAGTTTCTTTGCTCTGAGACGAGGAGGGAACATGTCATAAAAAGCAGAGGGTTAATCCTCCTACTTGATTTGATTGGCTGCTTTGACCAAAAGTGACATTGACGAGTGCTGTGACTCGGTGGCTTGGGCTGAAAAGTTGAAGAATTATAAACTTTTATTCATGCGAGAAAACTGTGAGAAGTTGGGAATGAGTCTCTTTATAATGTGGCAAAACAGAAGTGATTAAATTCAGAATGTAATCAACCAAGGAGATAGAAATGAAAAACAGTGTATCATCTGCGTAGAAGGATAACTCATTTATTTTCTTTATGCAGCAAACAGGAGAATTTCAATTAAATAGCAGTGGTCCATGCATGGAGCCATATGGAACCCCTTATAATAATACATTTCTCAGGGATACACAGAGGCTCCTGTGCCTTTAAAATAAGGAAAAAACAACTCTCTGCAGAGCTCATGAACTGAGTCAGGAGGTCACGCAAAGGTCAGATACAACACTTTTTACATTGATTGACTGATTCTTTCATAAGATAATTATCTTAAGGGCTTTTTAAGTACAAAAACCAGACGTCACATCGCGCAGTAACACATCTTGTTAGCTACGAGAGCGAAAGACGTACCTGTGAATTTAACTCTTCTGTATTTCCTCCTCAGGTCTTCCTTCATGAGGAGAACTTGTTGTTGAGTCCACTCGTTCTTCAGACGCTCCTCCAGCCACGGGGGCAGCTCCAGTTTATCACATGATAGTGCTAAAAACGACAACAGGCAACAACAGGAATTCATCAAAGTGTAGGTTTTTTAGGACGCGTACAGGGAGCTCAGAGGGTTTCCAAATTAAAGGTTTCAGTAGACTGAACCCTTGTGGTCATGTTATGGGTCGACCTCAGTAGACTGAACATTTCAGCATGGATACTAACTTCCTGATTTTGTACAGTATGGTTTTGATTGCATCCTTTCTGGAAATGAGTTGCATTTTAACTCCCACAATGCAATGCGAAATTAAATGTAAAACGTCACTTCATGTGCGCCTCCAAATCAAAACAAAGGAGGATGGATTCGGCCGGTTCGGGTGACGCGCCTTTCAAATGTTCAGTTATTAAATTGTTTACATGCGATGTGAAGTTTTGTATTATTTATTGAGCCATCGTGCAGATCACATCTGAGCTGGAGGGTCGATAACATGAGGAGGGCTAATGACGCCACTTCCACACTGAATGAATCAGACAAAGGAGGAACAGATATCTGCCTACTGAGAAGGGACCGTACACTGTCAGAGCTGGAGAGGTGCCAGGTCACTTCCTAAACACTGTGAAGAGGAACCCTTGAGAATCTGGTCACTACCTCGTTCCCTGTTGCTTTGTGGCTCCTGTAAGAACTATCAATAAGTTTTTACAGTCTTATACACGGTTTCGCATGTATCAAATGAAGACCTGGCCATGTTTCAGTGCTGTGGGTAAATCTGATCCCAGACTAAAGCAGGACATGTGAGCTACGCTGGAACAATCCTAAAACTAAAGACAGAGAGTCTACATTTGACTTTCTGCATAATAAAACATTAATTAACCCCCCCCCACAGCGCTGCTGTGAGGTTTCTCTGACACACACACACACACACACACACACACACACACACACACACACACACACACACACACACACACACACACACACACACACACACACACACACACACACACACACACACACACACACACACACACACACACACACACACACACACACACACACACACTCGTCCCCTCGTCCCCTCGTCCCCTCGTCCCCTCGTCCCCTCGTCCCCTCGTCAGTGGCTCCTTAAAAACCCGGGTTGAACTCCTACATTTTGCCGGAATGTTTACACTCTCCATGCGTTACTGTTGGCTAAATGCAATTGTGTGTTTTTTTTCATTGCGTAATCTTTTTGTGCAAGTCCTTTTGTGATTTTTCCTGTTGACTAATTCTCTTTGTGTGTTTTTGTTCCAGTGCCTTCCACCTCCAAACTCCAGCCTCACACTGATCAGCCGTTCCCTCCAACGCCCACGCCACAGCCACACGACTTACCCCCTCTGCCTCCTCAGCGCCGTTCTCCCCCCGCCTCTAACTACCTGCCTTTTCAGCCCACAGTATTTTTGTAATAAATCTGTTTATAAGTTTGATGGTCTTGCTATTGGGTCAACTGACATAAGCTCCCAGAATGCACTCTGGTTTTGTTTCACAGTGTTCTGCTGAGTCAGGAAGGTTCGTCTGTGGTCTCTGCAAAAAAAAAACAAGTCTGAACAAACTTCACGTGACGGCCTGACAAACCGGTGTGGGAGGAAAAGAAGGATCACAAAAGAAGAAGAAGAAGTGGTATTTGAGCTCAGAGACACGAGATTCAGGATGAAGAAACATGTGACTTTACCTGCGGTGACACCTGAACCCTGCTCATGACTCTTCTGAGGAGTGAACACCATGAAGTCCTGTCGGGTTCCTCCAAACCTCAGGAAGGACGGAGTCAACGCCCGGGCCAGCGTCCTTATCTTTGGAGAGCTGAAACCCAAACAGACACTTCAGATGATTCAGAGACAGAGGAGAACAGAGAGAGAGACAGAGAGAGAGAGAGGAGAGAGGAGAGAGGGGAGACAGAGAGAGAGAGAGAGAGAGAGAGAGAGAGAGAGAGAGAGAGAGAGAGAGAGGAGAGAGAGAGAGGGAGAGAGAGAGAGAGAGAGAGAGAGAGAGAGAGAGGGAGAGAGAGAGGAGAGGAGAGAGAGAGGAGGAGAGGAGAGAGAGAGACGGAGAGGAGAGAGGGGAAGGAGAGAGAGGAGAGAGAGAGAGAGAGAGGAGAGAGAGAGAGAGCGAGAGGAGAGGAGGAGAGAGAGAGAGAGAGAGGAGGAGAGAGAGAGAGAGAGAGAGAGGAGAGAGAGAGGAGAGGAGAGGAGAGGAGAGAGAGAGAGGAGTGAGAGAGGAGAGGAGAGGAGAGGAGTGAGAGAGGAGAGGAGAGGAAGGGGGGAGAGAGAGGAGTGAGAGAGGAGAGGAGAGGAGAGGAGAGAAAGGGTCTGAAAGGGTTTTCTTTTACTTTTACATTATTTAGAAGTGTATGAACCCATGACACACACAGTTATAAACTCTGTAAAGGGTTGGGGGAGAGAAAATAAACTGCTGGAATCCAATCAAGGATCCCTGAGGATCTCCAAATCCCACTCTGAGAAAACCTTGTTAGCAACAGGTCAGGATAAGAAAAACTCTAAAACACATGAAGCTTCAGTTCTACAGCACAGAATATGACTTTTTAAGAGCAAAATTAAGAAAACGCAGACATCATATCTGCAAAGAGTAGCGTCTCAACAACTAACACCTTTGATTCTCATTGTCCCAGTTTGGGTGTGAAGGCCCTTTAAGGGTAGGGAGTAACAGACCGCTCAGTCAGACACATCGGGGTCACCTCCAGCATTTGGTAGATCCCGTTTCAGGAGAGATTCTGTCGTTTGTAAAAGTGTTTCACGCTTAGTAATTTTGTTTTGCACTTCCCAGCTCACCAAACGAATGATCATAAATCTGTTCTTAAGAAAGAAAACGTTTTAAAATATCTTAATAAACTTAACATGAATAAACTAAATATCAAACTAAAGTCGAACAACAAGATCTTTCAAACTCCTTGAAGACTCTACATGAAGGACACAGGTCAATAACATGGTGTTCTTTCAACTTTATATTTTAAATATTAATCTGCAGTTTAACTGAAACCCTCGCACAGAGCAGAAAACAGAGAGATGGATCCTCTCTTAATAACGTGAGAGGAGAAGACCCCGCAGAATCAGAACCTGCTCGTCTGGATGAAGATCTGCTGCTTTAAGGGTCATCTCTCCGGACTAAGTGAAAACGATAGGAGGATCAATCCTATCAGCTCAGTACGCTCTGATCAGACTCGGATCCTCTGTGAGGACTTTACAGGATTTAAAGCGGATCAGAGGAGCAGGATCAGTGCTAGTTGGAAACTGAAACAGCTGCTGTGAATGTAAAATCGATGTTTTTCTCACCCCAACAGGTACATGAACTTCTCCTCTGAAGCCAGGCTCGCATCGATTGTGACGGACAGAAAGCGCAGGTCCACCCGGCGGACCGCAGAGGACACGTCCACAACCAGGTCCACGTCCGTGACATGTGAAGAGTTCTGGTCCCGGGTTTTGAGTCCTTCAGTCCGGGGAGAGAGGAGAAGGAGGAGCAGGAGGACCGGGAACGACTTCATGACTGAAGCGCTACATGAGAGAAGACAGAGCTGCTCGCTTCACTTCCTGCTGTTGAGCAAACCTTCAGGGGCGTCAGAGGGGGGAGGGGGCTGAGGACTCAGGCCCCCCCATACATATAAATCTTTACTCTTTGTGTGGATTTGTCTCTCTGTTTTAAGGTCAAATAAAAGAACATGTACTCAGTCTTAAATCTCAAAATAAAGACAAACAAATAAAAATAAAAACTTTTAGATGCTTTAAAATGATTCAAAAGTTAAAAAGTTCAGGGTGCTGGTGGCGCAGTGGTTAGTGCACGCACCCCATGTGTGGAGGCTGTAGTCCATCAAGCGGGCAGCCCAGGTTCAAATCCAGCCTGTGGCTCCTTTCCCACATTATTCACTACTATCTCTCTCTCTGATTTCTGACTCTATCCTCTGTCCTCTCTCTACAATAAAGTCCCAAAATTGATCTTTAAAAAAAGTTCAATTCTTTAATTCAAACTGCAAAAGAGTCTTTAAGTGTGTAAAACAAAGTTATGGTTATTTAAAGGAGCATTATGTAACCCTGACATCTAGTGGTTAAAATGGGTATTGCAGTCTAAATTCTAAACATTGTAGAGAGCTGTCTCCCTCCCTCCTCTCTAGAGTGGATGCTCACGCAGGTCGCCATGTGGTGGACACTGAAGCTTCAGTGTTTATCCAGCTCTGCATCGGTCTGTAAACCTTTCTGTGTTCTCACCTCTCTCCATTTTTCAAAAGCATCTCCAATATTGATCCTAGTTTGAGCACGTTTCTGCTCGTGGAGCTTATTAGAAACATGCAGAGGCTTTTTAGGTCGGGTACAATCACTTCTATCTGAACCACTTCTCTTGCCCGCTTCCATCGCTGCAACACCTGTTGACCTGATAACTGCTCTCATATCTGACAAACCGAGGGGCATCCAAAACGGCCGTGTGGGGGTGTCTTAAAACCGCCTACCTTCTCTGGTCCAAACAAATCCAGAAAGAAATCCAAATCCAGTTAGAAGGAGGACATACTGGCTGCTGCATTGTTGTCAGAGAAGCCAGCACTTCAACATAGCATGTTTCCTTAATGTCTGATCATATAGTAAGATCACTTCATTTCATTCACTACACATCTTACTGATTACGTCAGGTCTTTACCGTCTTCATAAAGCAGCGGTGTTCACTACAAAGCAGTCAGACACGATCCGTCCTTCTTGCACATTATTTTAATCGAATCAAACAAAAGACAGAATAAAACTCAGCGTGTACAAAGAGAATAAAACTCCTCTGTGATGAATTAACTTAAATGTTGAGAGTTTGGCGCTTGGGGCAAGTCAGCGGGCAGCATCAGCAGGTCGTCGACCTCCTCCTGCAGCGCTGAAGCTTTCTCATTCAGCAGCATCTGGAACACAGAGAGACGTCATCTGATACACACAGGACATAACAGACCAGAGGTTAATCACCACGTCTTCACACCGCACCGTATGACACAGGACAAACTGTCTGACGCTCACCTTGGCAGACGCTACGATCTGATTGGCTTGTTTCTTGGACAGGTTTTCTATCGACCTGCAGAGAACTGCTGGGTCGGCGTTCGCCAGGTGGGTCAGCGTTTTATAACCGGCGTTGTAAAGCTGCTTCGCTCGAGACTGCAGTGACAAAAACAAGATTCATATTTGTATTAACGTCTCTGAAGATGATGCATGCTGTTTGACTTGGTCAAAACAGGAGATTTAAAACGACTCAAAACGGTTGTTCTCTCCTGAAGCCCCTCCCCTCCCGTCTGACCTCCATGACTCCAACCACCTCCATCAGAGGGATGAGTTCAGCCCGCACGCAGTAACTCAGCCTCCTCGTCAACTCCATGAGCAGAGCTCTGAACGGCCAGAGCTCCTCCAGTTCCTAAAAAAACACACACATCAGTATCACAGGTATACTACATACAGCAGGGAGGAGGAGGAGGAAAGGAGGAAGAGGAGGAGGAGCAGGAGGAAGAGGAAAAGGACAAGGAGGAGGAGGAGGAGGAAGACGACGAGGAGGAGGAAGAGGAGGAAAGGAGGACGAGGAAAAAAGGAGGAGGACGAGGACGAGGACGAGGACGAGGAGGAGGAGGAGGATCTCAGGTGTGTCACCTCGGTGAAGTGCAGCACGCAGGAGCAGAAGGCCGACGAGGAGCTGAGCAGCGTCTGGATGAATCCTCGGCTCAGCTGGAAGCGCTCAGAGACGCTCCAGAGATTCGTCTCCTTCAGGAGAGAGAGGAGGACGAGAGCGAGGTACATCCTGCTCACCACCTCCATGTTCACAGTCTGAGAGGACCAGACGATGACATCATCAACATCAACAACAGCAACAACAACATGGGACAGTGGGTTACTTAAATACTCGACAGTTTAAAGAGGAATTCTTTTTGCTTTTAATGCTGCACTCTCTCTAATGATGCCGAGTTTGTGAGAATATTTAACAGAGAGTTTTAAAGCTGTTTAAGATATTTTCTGACCTTCTTCACCGTCTGTCCTGCAGCTTTTCTGGCCACAAAACTCTCGGGCACTCCGACGGCTGCAGAGATTTTCTGCTCTGAAGCCGACAGCCGAGTGAACTGCAGCACAAACGACACGGACACGTTAACATCCCCTGCTGTGAGCGTTTTATTGTACAACATCGAACAGAGTCTGTACCTGTCGGAAGTAGGTCATCCAGTCGGGTTTGCACTGAGAGATCATGTCGTACGGAGTCACCAGGTAGACCAGGTGCAGGTAACTGTTGAGCAGCAGACCCTCCAGACCTTTAGAGAGGTCTTTGTAGAGGATGTCGCTGTAGGTCAGATCTACAGAGCCTGAACACACGAACACACACACGAACACACACACGAACACACACACACACGAACACACACACGAACACACAGTGTGACACAGTGTGACCTATATTCTCTCTGTTGATTTTTGTTCTGCACATGTTCAATGTTTGATGATTAACAAATCCCACTCTGCCTTCTTTAAATAGTCAAATGTGTCACTTATCAACAATCCAATACTAGAGCTTCTTTTTCTGTTGCCATGGTTTCGGAGTGGTGGGATTTTTTACTCGAAAGTTTCGTTTTACCTTTATACGTAGCCTTTCCCAGCCTGGTGACCTGCAGAGTCTGAGCGTCTGCAGACACACTGATGAGATTTTTCTCCTTCAGGAGGTCCACACACGTCTGCACCTCCTCCCACAGACTCCTCCTCACACACAGCTGCTCCTGCTGCACGAACAGCAGCGTGCCACACAGGAACTCCCTCACCTGCTCACACGACGACGTGATCTGCAACACACACACACACACACACACACACACACACACACACACACACACACACACACACACACACACACACACACACACACACACACACACACACACACACACACACACACACACACACACACACACACACACACACACACACACACACACACACACACACACACACACACACACACACCACACACACACACACACACACACACACACACACACACACACACACACACACACACACACACACACACACACACACACACACACACACACACACACACACACACACACACACACAGCACTTATTCATCCCCGGTCTTAAACACAGCTTGATGTGATGTGCTCAGGTTGAATGAAAAAAAACTGAAGGTTTACATTTAATCCAATCAGAGACAGGATGAGGCTGAGGAGGCCTTTCCCATCGTCCAGCATCAGTTTACTGAAACAGTTCTCCATCGGAGCGCACACCAGAGTTTGAGCCTGGAGAGAAAAAACACAAAAACACAGCTCAAAACAGAAAGATTTAAAAACATAAAGAGACAAATGCCCACAGATCATCTCCTCTAAAGCTGAAAAACATTAATTTATTAGTCAATTGACACTCTGTCAAGCCCCGCCCCCACCAGGAAGTAATCCTTTGTTAAGCCCCGCCCTCACCACAAAGTAATCAGTAGTGTATGTGTGTGTGTGTGTGTGTGTGTGTATGTATGTGTGTAGTCACCATGTTTCTATCTTTCTCCTGCAGGATGAGGATGCTCTCTCCCACAGTGTCGATCCCCGCTCGACCCGCCCGGCCCACCATCTGTTTGTACTGACTCCTCTTCAGGAAGTCTGCGGCCAAGTACGGAGAGCGCAGGATCACCCTGATCAGAGGACAGCAGGGTCACACAGTCTGCACACTTCATGTGTTCAAATGAATCTCAAATTACAGCATCTGGATGGACACGTGGCGCGGGTATGTGTGCGTTACCTGCGTGCAGGTAGGTTGATCCCTGCAGCCAGGGTGGAGGTGCAGGTGAGCAGACAGAGCACCCCGTTGGAGTACGCCTCTCCACCAGCTTCCTCTCCTCCGAGGTCAGCCCGCTGTGGTGATACGCCAAACCGTACGGCACCGTCCTCCTGAGCACCGGACACAGCGAGCCGTTCCCGCTGTCCCTCAGCTCCCGGAGGAGGAGCGACTTCTCCTCCTGACGCCGCTGCAGGAACTCCCTGTGGAGAGTGAAAGACACTGAGGCGTCACACAGAGAGCTGCAGACGGGCGGAGCGGAGACGAACGCCGCAGGAGGAACTCACTCTCTGAGGTACGTGCAGATCATCCCTGCCACGTTCTCACAGTTCTTCTTGGTGGGACAGAAAACCAGACAGGAATGAGCCGGGATGACTTCAGTCACCAGAGCGATGATGTGATCCGGGTCCATTTTCTGCATCGCACTCGAGTACTGAGGGAGGTCAGAGGTCAGACATCAGGCAGTGTTTAAAATCTGCAGCACACACTCGTATTATTTTTACAATAATTTAAACTAAACTCCAATCATCATGTTGTAAAAGAAACCTTCACTCAAACCTCTCCTGATCTAAACTGATCTAATTACCTAACCGCTGCTACCTGTTCAATATTACTTGTGCAATAACTTTGTAATTCACTGCTTTATAATTGTTTATTTATTTACTCAGTCACTTTAACTGTCTATATATTTATTTATTCATTCATTGCACTAAAACTGTTTATTTACTCATCCAGTCACTGCACAATAACAACTGTATATATTCTTTCA